GTTGGATTAATTAAAATCTTGAGGTGCTTGCTCACAAGTGGAGTACAGAAATATACTCAGACCTATAAGGGAAATTTGATTTAATATAAAGCTGGCATTTCATATCAGTGGAAAAAAAATATACTCTTCAGTAAATCATGTTGGGAATACATGTGTTTGCAACCTGGAAACAAACCTACTTGGATCCCTGTCTCATTCCTTAGATTAATGCCAGCTGAATCGAAGATTTCAATAAATAAAATGAAGGCATAAGAATACTAGAATAAGTCATAAGAGAATTTTTAAAAATAATCTCAGATCAGAGAAGGTCTTTCAGTATGACATAAATCCTGGAAGCCACAAAAGAAAAGAAAAAATGCAAATGTATCAAATAACGTGTTTTGCATGGCAACAGCACCATGAAGAAAATCAAGACAAATGACATTCTGGGGAAAAATATTGTACATGTATGTGTTTAGAGATCGTTAAGAGTGGTTGCCTCTGAGGAGACTGAGAGGGAGGGATAGAGATATTTTACTTTTTGTGTATTCTTACATCTTTTTAACTTTGTACCATATCCATGTATTATTTATTTGAATATAATTGCATTGGAATTATGACTATAAATTCTGAATTGAAGGGTACAATAGTGATGATGACAAGGTTGTATTGTAGGTCAAAGGACAGTCCCTTTGCCCAAGGTATAGTCATTTTATATTTAAAAGGAGTAAAAGTCATGCAGAAATAGGAAACAAAGCATTTATGACTGCAGATTATTTAAGATCTAGACTTTACTTATCTAGATGATTGGTTTATTTTGTATTAGGCACTTCTCTTTTTTTCAGTTTTATTGAGGTATAATTGACATACATCACTGTGAAGGTGTACAGCATAATGATTTGAATTATGTGTATTGTAAAATGATTACTGCATAAGTTTAGTTAACATCTTTCATTTAGATACAAAAATCAAATATAATTTTTATTCTTACTTATGTTTTTACTTTTTATTTCCAATATAGTTAACATACAGTGTTATATTAATTTCAGGTGTACAATATAGTGATTCAGTAGTTCCATATGTTACACAGTGCTCATCGAGATAACTATAGTCTTAATCCCCTTTACCTATTTCACGCATCCCCCCACCCACCTCCCCTCTCATAACTATTTGTTCTCTATAGTTAAGAGTCTGTTTTTTGGTTTGTCTCTCTTTTTTTTTTCCTTTGTTCATTTGTTTTGTTTCTTAAATTCCACAGAGGAGTGAAATCATATGGTATTTGTCTTTCTCTGACTGACTTCACTTAGCATAATACTCTCTAGCTCTATCCATTGCAAATGGCAAGATTTCATT